AGACAAGTTATAGATTATTCTCTAAAACTGAGTTTATTGTATTCATAAGTAAAGTTCAATTACCATGAATCACATAGAAAAGAGAACTTTAAAGTGAATAAAACTGTAAGGTACAGAAGTTAAATCTACCAAGATAGAACATAACATAGCAATAGAGATCATGAAATATAGTGAGCATATTTAATCTTTTAGGTGAACTTAATTTTTCCAGGGCATTAATAAGAATTAATGATTGTTATTCTGAAATTACAATTTGCAGTTTTCTACTCTTAATTTTGAGGTAATTGGCCCACACTAAGTCAATTTTCTCTTCTTAGTGTTATAGTTTCCAATGGAGAACTACATGTTTGATTCTTCTCTCAAACATCTAACTTGATTGTACACCATGTTATAGTCTCTTAAGACTGTGGACTCGAAAGAGGAAACACACAAACACTACATACAAGCTCTGGGGAGCTTGTAAAATTAAAATGACTGTTTGCAAGGGTCATTGCTCCTACTTGAAGTTTAGTCCTGTGCAGTGTCCTCCTCCCTGAGGTCTGATTTTTCCTAAGGGACCCATCAGCCTTTCCAACTAGAGGGGCCTTCTGAGTATCAGAATGACCCACTACAAAGCAACTGTAACTATCAATCTGACATAGCACTTCCATTGCTGGATCCATTTTCTTTCATATCATCTCTAACATATCATAGATTATAAAATAGTGTCCAAGATAAAGGATGTAACATAAATGGCAAAAGAAGATTCATAAACATAAATGACCTATATTTAGAAAGGACATAATATAATATGGTAATGAAGGGGAACCAAGGATATATAATTCATCCAAACCTTGTAAATTTTTGCTACAAGGATCATTCTTTTTTTTTTTTACAAGGATCATTCTATTATGAATTATTTGTAGAAACAATTTTGGAAGAACATATTCCTAGAAGGCAATAGAAGGGAGTTAAGTTCAGAAAATAATTATGAACATACTGAAAATCTGTGAAGGTTCAGCATTTTCAATAGCAAGATTAAAAATTTTTGACATTATTGATTCTGTAGAGAATATACAGAAATATCTGAACATGATTTGAAATGAACTCATTTACAGGGTTTGAAAACCTTTCCTAATTTTTGATGAATGAAAATGAAAGAAACAGACACAAAGAATAAGGTAAGAACTCTAATAGATCTGCTCACGAAATACTAAAGTTAAATAAGTAGAGGTGGCAAGAAAAGTTCTGATATTGCTTAATTTAATGATCGTGTGGTTATTATGACCACCACATAAAATGCATTCAGATAGAAGAGAATGTTTAATGAGAATAAATTCAGTCTGGATTATCTTTATGTGTTTTATTTTAATAAATTAAAAATATGTAGTAGTAAATAAAGGCTAACCAGCACATACCATTCTATTCACAACAATGTGTTCTTAAGTGATCAATTTCAGCCAAGGGTTTTGATCATTTAGAAAAATTCAAACAGGGTCAAGGATAGCTCATTAGCAAGAGCACCTGGCTGCCAAATGCAAGGTCTTGAGTTTGATCCCTGGTACAAAAAATAAATAATTAAAAATTAAATGTAAAAAGTCAAAAACCTCAATCTTCCAGAAGTAATTAAGCATTAATTTGCTTTGGAAAAAGACAGAATGAGAAGACCAACAGAAAATCAAGAGCTAGAGACAGGTCTTCAGAATGCGTGAAGACAATGTTCATGTTGACACTGTTGAAACTAATGTCTCTAGGCTTTCCTTTCAGGCAAGCCTCAGAGAAGACATTCTAAGAGGGAGAACTGGCTATGCAAACAGATCACACTTTGTGGGTGATGTCTACAGATCTCTTATTCTAGGGTTCTGGCCAGAACCTTCCTTTGTTTAAGAAAAAGTCTCTTCTTTCTTTGTACAGTTTAACCTTATTGCAACGATAGACTTACTGGCAGATAAAATGCATTCAGTTTTAAATTTTTACATAGCTTAGCCAAAGCAATCATGCCTATTATTAATCTTCACTAGTGTTTCCTGGCTAAATGTTTAATATATATGGAGTACACTAAAACTGTATACACACACTTACAGGGAAAGAAAAAAAATCTTGTATAATTATTTTCATATTGAATTTATTGAGACATCCTGATATTAGTGCAAGGAGTCTTTAGACTCTACAAGGGCAAAAGTGCTTAAGGAGGTGGCTACTAATTTTCAGATTTTTATTAATACAGCGAACTGCTTCTTGGGTAAGCCTGATGACTGAGATTGCTGCATATGCATTTCAATCGCTTCTCTAAGGGCTGCAGGGTGTGCAGTGGGTACTCTGTGATATACAACATCCTCTAGGGTCCACTCTATGAAAGTAACATCCATCAGTTGAAAAGACATTACACAATGTTTGTTTTCTTGAAGTGTGTATACATTGTTGGTAGACTTTATGCTTCTAGATAGGTTAATATGCTATTTACAGACACTACTGTATGCTTAAAATTAAGCTCTCATCATTGATCAATCTTTTCTAGGTTTGTTTCTTGCAAAATCAGACAAAAGAAGATCACTGATCATAATAAGTCTCCAAAAGGGAAGGAATATTTAAGCATTTTTAGGAACTGAAGTTATAAAAACTTAAAAATCTGTTGTATTTTAAAATGTCAATATGTACAGACATCTATTTTAAATTCTTATCTCAGTTCATGACTATTAACTTCATCTGCTCCGTTATACTTTCCACAGTGTTGAGTTTAGGTTCTGAATTTTAAAAAATATTTTATAACTCATTGACATTTTCCAATACTTAATAGGAAATACCACAGAACCTCACTCACAGAGGCCCACAGCAGTATATGTTTAAGATTAGAATGCAGAAACTATTAAGTATAAAGTTTATTCATGTGTTGGAATTATTTGGACAGACAGACAAAACTGTACTGTAGTTAGGAATAATTATTACTTTATTAAGCTTTTCTAGTAGTGGATATAATGACCAGAATTTGAGATACAAAGAGAAATTATAAATTAAAAAATCATATTATAAAGAGTAGAATGAATAGTTCACAATTCTGATGCTAGGCAGTAACTAGATACTAAGAGGACAGAATACCAATATACTTTTTTTTCAAAGTTTTATTGATAAACAGATAGCAATGAGACAGTTTCAAATCAAATCGGAAGTACAGTTTCAACAAATAATACACTGCATATATTCTTCTTAGTGGTTAATTGCTGTACAAGATGCAGACTTGTGATTCTATTTACAAACACCATTAGAACAAATCATTCTATTCATTAAGACCAATATACTTTTTATATCTATTTATTTGTGAAGCATATATTCATCTCAGATGTTCATTTTTTATTGAGTCTTTGAATTTTAGAGGTCTTATTTTAAAAAATTATTTATATGCTCTAGGTAGGAGTCATTTGTCTGAAGGACAGTCCACAATAATTTTTTCCAATTTGTGCATTTTCTTTTTATTCTGTTGGTGAGTTATTCTGACTTACAGAAACTTTTCAAAAAGATTAGAACCCAATTGTTGATTTTTTGAAATATTTCCCATGAAGATTGGTTTTTGGTCATGATATCTCTTCCTACCCCTATGTCCTTAAGATTTCTACCTGCTTTCTCCCCCAGAAAATTTAGTGTTTCATTTGTAATATTTAAATCTTTCATTGATTTGACTTTAGTTTTATATATGGTGATGAGCATGGATCTAAGTACAGGGCCTATAGGCTTTCACTATGTAGATCAGACTCATAGCGATCTTCCTGTTTTCAGCCTCCCAAGTGCTAGGATTACAGGCATGCACCACCATGCCCAGTCTCAGTCGCTGTCTCAGCATGCCCTGGGCACGGGGCTGCCAATGCTTGTGATGCTGGGGATCCAAGCCCAGTCCCTGAGTTCTGCCTAAGGAGGTGCTTTAGTCCACTGAGCTATCTGGCCAACCTTCAGCCACCTCATCTTTGATGAAGGGCTCAAACTTGTTCAATGGAAGAAAGTTAGCCTCTTTAATAAATGGTGCTGTACAAACTGGATTTCCACATGTGGAAGGCAGTATAAATATTAGGGCATGTGTCTGAGCAAATATGTTAAGTATTCTTACTGCTGAGATAAAATAAAGGCAAACTAGTACTGGCATACTTTTTTCTCTCCTAATAAAGTAGACGCTGGAACCTGAGACAGGGCCATGTAGACACAGTCATGGCATTACAGAAAACAGAGGGTACATATTGCCAACTAATGTTCCTGTATGCAACAAATTTAAATCATTTGATGGATACAGAAATAAAATCATTCACCATTTCTTCTTTCTATGTGGTTGTATAATTCTGTCTCCCTTTCAAACTTCTCAAAGATTTTATCCTATAAAATAATAATCATGGGTCCTTTTTAAAGATTAGACCACTGAGCTATCGCTCCAGTCCAAGATTTTTAATACTTATCATTTCATCATTTGATAGTACTATATATATATATATCAACTTACTATATAGTAAAGACAAAACGTTGATTGTCAATAAATTTTGTATGCTTTTTATCATTAGGAGATCTTATTATAAATTTCCAACTATTCTACCAAGGGACATCAGTATTAAAGATGATTGCATGCTGACATACATATTATTTATGTGTGTTTGTGCGTTTACATTTGAGTACCCATCTCTTATCTTTTCCTTGATAACATATTGCCGACTTTTAAATGCAAACAGCATTTAAACAGCAGGTTATTTTATGACTTGTGTTGTCTAATAATTATTTTCCATAGAATTAGATTTAAAAATGTAAGTTAAGAAGATGCAATGTATATTTTTTTCTTAATTTGTAGGTGAAGATCCTAGGAGGCTGAATGGTGAAATGGTTCATAGATGACAGGTTCAGGATAATCATTAACCCTCATGAATATTGCTGCACAGTGACTTAGGGTTCCTCCCATTTCATGGAACAGGAGAACTGCTGCACAATCAGAGGTTCTGCCAATAAGAGATTGACCATCTTCCCACTAAACATGCAAGTTTCTTAGCTTTAACATGGAAGACAATGTTACACATCACATTTCATCTATCTACCTCGTTGGCATTCCTGGCTTGCAGAAATTTCACTGCTGGATCGGCATTCCTGTCTGCTTCCTGTTTGTGCTGACCCTGCTGGGGAACAGCATAATCACTGTGACCATCAAGCTAGAGCCAAGCCTTCATCAGCCTATGTATTTCTTCCTGTCCATGCTGGCAGTGAATGACATGGCACTTTCCTCCTCCACAGCCATCAAGATGCTTGGCATCTTCTGGCTTGATGCCCACTGGATTGACTTTGATGTCTGCCTCACACAAATGTATTTCATCCACACACTCTGCATTATCGAGTCTGCCCTTCTAGTTGCTATGGCCTTCGATCGCTATGCAGCTATCTGCACTCCATTGCACTATACAACTATCCTGACAACATCAATGGTCATTAAAATGGGTGTAGGTGGTGTCAGCCGAGCTATACTTATGGTTTTGCCCTGTCCACTTCTCATTAAGAGGTTGCCGTACCATACAAAGTGTATCATCAACCACACTTACTGTGAGCACATGGCTGTGGTGAAGTTGGCCAGTGACAACACCTCCATTAACAGAGCATACGGAATCTCTGTAGCCCTGTCCGTGATGGTATTGGACCTAAGCCTCATAGCCACATCGTATATCAAAATCCTCCAGGCAGTCTTCAGGCTGTCTTCCCAGAATGCCCGCTCGAAAGCCCTGGGCACGTGTGGTGCCCATGTGTGCACTATTCTTGTCTCCTACACCCCTGCACTGTTTAGCTTCCTAACTCACCGCATTGGCAAGAAGGTGCCTCCAAGCGTGCATATAATCTTCGCGAGCGTGTATCTTCTGGTGCCCCCCTCGGTCAACCCCCTGGTATATGGTGTCAAGACCAAGCAGATTCGTGACCGAGTGCTAGGTCTTTTTTTCCCAAACAAGAAGGTTTCTGAGAAATAAAGATTTCAATACCATCTCTATTAGCAGAGTTTGGCTAATGAAGTTTATAGTACATAAACAATCCCTTTCTTTTGCTCAAAATTTTATTTCTCATTTAACCTATTATTTGTATCAGAGATATTTATTCTGGTACAACTTTTTTTCTATTTATAAAATTTTTATGTGCACCAATAATACAATTTTTTGTACTTTAATTTCAAGTTTTAACATAATTTGAAGAAGTAACATTAGCATTTTAAGATGAAAATTTGATAGACTATTTATTAATTATGGAAAGGAAGAAATAAAAAGGAAAGTTTTGAAATGTAATGTACAGTAAATAGCCACAAATATGGTAAATCTTAACTCAGTTATATCAACAACCACATAAATATGATTTGTCTAAATATACCAAATAATTTTCTCAGTGGCTAAAAAACCAATATATACCAACCTATGTATTGTACATACAAAACCCACTTTAAATATATAAATACATATTTGTTAATGTAGTGTTATAGAAGCATGTGTACAGCCTAAGTAAACAAGTGAGAGTTCAAACAACTAAATGAATTTTAGCCAAAGCATTTTAGACCATAGAAAATTATTTAAAAAATAAAGTTATCACATGTAACAGTAAAAGTTCAGTCATCTGTAGATACATGATCCATCTTTCCTGGTACAGATCTAAGAGTAGAACATCAAACTGGGCAACCCAGCGGAACTGCAAGAAGATGCGAACATGCAGCTGCAGATTTGCTTTCCTAGCTTGCAGAAATCTATGCATAAGGCAGAATATTAGTGAAGATATGAGTGATAAGTCGTCATTCTACTTGACCTGATTGTCATTTATATAATGCTCCACTGAATGATGTCAAAACAAATGTTTTAAGTGTACATTCAAGGTTCAAAATATATGTCAGATTCTGGGTCATAAAATAAGCCTCAACAGGCCAGCTAGATACCTCAGTGAACTGAAGCGTCTGCTTAGGCAGGTGCAGGGACCAGGTTTGATCCCCAGAGTGCTGTGCCAGTGCTGCCCCCGGGGTGTGCTGAGAAAGTGACTGAGACTGGGCGTGGTGGTGCGTGCATATAATCCTAGCACTTGGGAGGCTGAAAACAGGAGGATAACTACGAGTCTGTGTTGTGAGGCCCTGTAGACCCTGTACTAAATACATTAAAAATAAACAAATAAAATAATATCAACCTCAACAGATGTGAAATAATAGAAATGATACAAAATGTGTTCTCAGGCCAAAGTGGAATTAAATAAAAATTATTAACAGAAAGATATCTGAAAATTTCCCAATCACATGCAGATTAAACTACCATTCTAGAACCTTTCTCCACTGCTGGTGGGAATGTAGACTGGTGTAACCATTATGGAAAACAATGTGGTGACTCCTTAAAAAACTAGGACTAGAAATTCCATTCAAATCAGCTATTCCCCTACTGGGAATTTTCCCAGAGGATCTGAAAACATCATATCATAGTGATATATGTGTACCTATGTTTATAGCAGCACTACATGTGATAGCCTAATCTTGGAGACAATTACAATGCCCTTCACCTGAGGAATGGATGAAGATGTTATGGTATTTTTATACAATGGAGTATTACTCAGCTATAAAGAATGATAAAACACTTATATTTAAGTGGATGCTACTTAAACATATACTCATAGGTGAAATAAACCAGACCCATATGTGTAAATATCATATAGTCTCCCTACTATAAGAACTCAAAAGAAGAAATACAAATAGAAAAGTTTAACACAACTAAAAGGAAAGTGAGGACTTGAGATAAGACAATGAAGAGAAAGCAAGGAAAAAAGCTAAGAAACATGACAGAGGCAAAGCCATACATTTAGATGTATAAGATGGGTAAGGCAATGATCCTGAGAATCTTCAGAAGTTTTAAAAGTTAGCAGTTAATTGGAAGGATTCTCACCCTGACTAACTATAAATGCTGATACCTGTGAACTAAGCAGCTGCACTGAAGATGGCAATGTGTAATAGTAGGGTTATGCTTAGCTTGCCCGTCATTATGGTCTTCTGAATACGTGCTGCTTGTCATGACACCCCAGTTGCTGCCATGCTGTCTCTTGGGTAGATGTTTGTTTAAAAAGGAAGGGGATGGTGAATAAAGGCAGGAGAAAGGAAAAGGGATGTTGCAGAACTGTCCTGCTACAATGCTGTATATGGTTAGATATCTAAACTTGTGTGGTAAAATATGTAATTGTTTATTCTTATTTTTAAAAATATTTT